TGCATTCCGTACATTGATACCAACCCACGCACCTCGCTGGATAAACAAGTACCATGACAAAATTACGAATAGCTACCAACAGAAAATCGCACAATAGAATACACATTCACATGCCCACCCGATACATATGGAAATATATACCTTAGTATAAACACACAACACACATCTGATGAATGTGTACCGAACTATAAATACTATACACTGACATGCACCTAACACATACTCGCTGGCTTTGCTGGCGGCCATTTTCTTCAGCGAGGCGAATTGCAGCACTAACTCATCTGCCGAGTGCGTGCACGCGGACGTATCCACATTGTGCAAGCGTTGCGCGTACATCTCTGCCTTCGCACAGTCAAACAGCGCATATGACTGGACCAGCCCCGCCATGGCACGTTTGTCCTCGGGGTTAAGTTCTGAATGCATCGGAGGAGCGTATGTATTCGTATCAGAAATGGAGTACATACATCGGAATAGACATAACAGAGGAAGTAAATAGTTACCACCTACTCAACACACATTCGACGGCAGTTTAGCATCGAGATATACAGACACGAAGACGGGGACTCCCATAGCTCGCGTGGCTACAGATATCAAGAGATGTACGCATAAATCGGACACTTACTGTTGTTTCATAGGCAACGGAGTTCTACAAACCACTCTACCTCTCAGATATCACCGTCTCATAAAGATATATTGCCGATAGGATACTTATACACGTCGACGGACACTCACATAACAACTGCACTTTCCCACATGCCACGGTCTCAGGCTGATTGCGGCCCAGTACGAACTGAACACACCTAGCCATGGCCCATACAATGTGTTTAACCCACCCACACACCAAAGTCTAAACAAATGCCATGTACACCGAATACACACACAGGCAGATACACACTCACCTAGCAGTTTCTCATACGCAACAGACGCCTTGTCAGGCTGGTTGTGGCCTAGATAGAACTGTGCTTGTCCCCGTAGTACCGTGCACAGGCGCCCTGTGTTGCGCTGGTTCTGGTGAAAGCGTGTGGCATTGTCAAACACGATCTCGATCTCGCTGTCGTACGTCACTTGAGGTACCGAACTGTCGCCGTCGGCTGTGACGGTGTGGTCCAGTGTATGTACGAGTTAGTTTGTGCGAGTCAATATATATATATACATAAGTTGGTATATATGAGTCCACCTCTGCTATATACTTGACTATGAGAGGTTGCTATAGGCCAGTATTGAATAAGACGGGTTGGGATAGCGCAGGTGGTTCTGTGAACTATGAACCTTCAAGATAGGGCGGGAGTGTATATCTGAGAAAACATTCCAATAGCTGTGTACAGTACGACCAAGGGCTTCGCTCGCTATACGTCCGTGGGGTGAGTGTTAGTGAATATTAACATAACTCAATCATACATCGCATGCTCTGGCGAAGATTGGTGTGGTGTCAGATTCCTTACGTCTCCGAATAGTCTGGATGTCTTACACGCTCAGAGAAGGGGCAAGCACTGCATGTATGTGTGCTTGTCTATACTGACAACTTCA